ATATAGATAAAAAAATAGGTAGAAAATAAATATAAGTAGATTTAATATTATCTTGTGGCAAAGCTTTTTAAAAGCTTCATAGATACATTTTTGATTTTATACATATTTATAATTGATTGGTAAGTTAGAAATTTGGCCAAAAAGTTAGCCATGTATTACATATATGGATAGCTTGTGGTATAAGATTACAATATGGCGTATGTATAAGAAATAAGCATTGCAAGTTAAGACACGTGTCTTACAAATTATACATGTATTGGAGGCCCTATATAACATCACCATATACCTTCCAATTAAATAGTATATATAGAAGCAAGAGTAAAGCCTTCTTTACTCATATTAATGTCTTTTTAATTCTTAATCTTGTTTTAAGACTTTCTTATCTTTTTATTGTTAATAATTATCAATTTAATTTAAAATTATATTATCTTTGAATAATTCTTTAATTTTTTTGAGTTATATAAGTGTATATTGATCTTTTAGTTCTCTAAGATTTATGTCCTTGATAAATGTTTGCTGAAATTGGTACCTTTAATTTTTTTTTCTTGTTTACTTTTTACTTTGGTTTTGTCCAAATTTGTTTTGTTTCAAATTATTTGGTTATCTCAATAAAGGCTACTTTATTGTCCTTGTCATTGCTATTTTCTAAATTTTTAATCTTTCTCATTTTTCAAGGATATTAAATTTTAAAATTAATTCTTGATAAAAGGTTGATATTATTTATCTCTTCATCTTTTGCATGTTGGTTTGCAAATTTTTTTCCACAATGTCAAACTATATGATTATAAACTCTACATTTGTAGCATCAAAATCGAATGGAACTTAAAGATCTTTAATATTGTATATTACTTAATCCAGTTTTTTTTATAAAGTTATTTTGACACATATGCAACCTTCTTCTATAATTATTTTATCTTATTTTATAGTATTATCTACTTTTTCTTCCTTGAACATTAAATGAATTGAACTAAGTTGATAGTGCTTTTTCATCTCAAAGTTGCTTGTTTCTATTTGAAGTTTGGAAGTTATAGATATAAATTTTGGTAGTGTATTAACTGCAAAGATTGATTAGATTAGACCTTCAAAGCTTTGAGATAATCTTTTGAGGATTTATTGAACTAATGTTAAGTCAACAACTCGTTGTCTAAGAACTGTTAGGCAATTCTTGTTGCCACAAGCATTCCCAGAGTATTCTTCTACTCATCCTTGCTCTCCTAATATCATGCTATACAGTTTGGTAGATAATAACAAAACTTAGAAAACATCACCTACTAGGAATTTGCTTTGTAATGCAACTCAGGCATCAATTGGATCATCGTGCTCAGCTATAGTGTCCAGAAGATCATTGTTGACTGTTCAATATCTCTAGTTCTTTATTTTTCAGCTATCAAAACTTGACCTTAGTGTGTTGTACTTCTTCAATCAAAATTAGAAATGTAGCAAATAGAGTTTTGGCTATCTACCACATGTTTTTGCACCTCAATGAGACCTTCATCTTTAGTTTCCACGTGTTGTGATTTTCTCCTCCTTATAGTTTGTTCTCTTTTCTTAAGTAGGCATTCTGACTTTTTGCAGCCATTCTACTTTTTCGTACTTTTTTCTAGTTGCAGTGTCTCAATTGCCGATTCCAATATAAACTTCTCAAGGTCCATCGAATTCAGGACAATTCTGCTCCAAGTATACCCAGAGGGCAACAACTAAGAAAGGATAACAAGCCACCAACTTTTTTTTATTAAGATACGGGCGATCTTGACAGGTTCTTCGCAAATATCTTCATGGACATCAATCCAGATCCCACGTCTTCAAACAAGACCAACTGTCGGATGCTTTGAATGACTTGCCGTGAGGTGGAGCTCGAGCACCAGTTCCGTTTCGCCTGGTCATGCGAGTGACGTGATGGAGAATTCAGTGACAAACTTGAACATACGATGTGACTGTTCTCAAAGTGAAAACGTGATTGAATCTGCTCCACAGCAAAACATATGCAGCGTGAGATGTAGCATCCCAGCCAGTTTCAACACCTTGCGATATACAACACAATTTCCCGATCCGCCTCGACCTTAGTGGAAACGCTCACCATAGAACGGATCTGGATTACGGTCGTCGAGTGTAGAATGGGGGTGCTCAAATTAACCTCCTGATCAAAGTACAACCATGAAGTATCGAATTCATTGCAAGCTAAAGACATCCAAGTTGTGCCCACTTCTAGATACAACAGAGCTGGAACACCAAGCTGGGTTTTCTAAACCAGGATTCTGAACCACCTCAAATCCAGGAAGAATCCACGATCCCAACCTAATGGTCAAAAATCGAGTCAGAAAACTAGAAAGACAGTGCTCATCAGCTTGAAATCAATACAAATACACTAATAATCCAAATGGTCCAGTCTCTTCACCACGACAGACTGAGCCGTATCACTCACGTTTTTTTGGTTTCTGAATGTGAGCATATGTTCGTCTCTTTGTCTTATGTATCTCAACATGCTGAGGCACAGACACCTAGAATACATGTCGAGGCTCTGTTGTGGCACATGCTTATTAGAGTGGCCACGCTGCAGGGTCCAAGTTCTGGTCATGGAAACAGCTTGTAAAGGTGAAGCTTGAAGCGAAGGTTGTAAAAACAATTGAAGATAGTGGTGAGGTGTTTCATTACAACAGGAAACATCTAGACAGTTTGTGTGTTACAAAAATATATATCAATTTTTCTCTTATAATTATTGTATTATGAGTTTTACAAATGGACTTATATATGCTAAGAAATACAAAAATAAATTAGAAGAAAATTTGAAATATAATTTTTTAATCAATGTAATTTATTTATAACTAGTACAATAGAATATAGGATTAATAATATGTTATAAATTAAAAAATATATAACTTGTTTTTCATTTATAAATCATTTGACCATATTATAGCATATTAAAATAATTAGTAAAGCAGTTTGAAATTGTAGTTGGAAGTTGATTTTTATTATGAAGACCATGTTGGTTTTAAACACCAAAATAATTTTTTTTATTTAGTCATAAGAAAAATCAACATCTTTTAGCTATAGGTATTCCAAATTAGAATTCATTTTTATTCTTTTATTCTTGTTTTGCATCACCATGGTCATACTTTTATATAAAATGCCACAAATTATTTTGCTTTAATTTAAAACATGTCTATAAAATGATCTACCGATTTCCTAACCATCATTAAGTTACAAAATTGAATGAAATAAAAAAATATATAAAAAAAAAATTAAAAATAGTTTTTTCTAAAATAGATGATTAAAAGGTGATTAAAATTTTTTAAAAAAAACTTATGAATTGTAATTAGTATTGATAATTAAACAAGGTTTAATGAAAATATAAGACTAAATTTTAAATAATTTAACTTAGTTTTTAAATATAATATGATATTTATATTCCTAAGTTAATACAAATTAAAAATTAAAGTTTTTACTTTTAGTTTTTAATATATTTAAATTATTTTCTATATTAAATTATAATCTTATATTACAAATTAATATTTTTCTTTCATAGTTTATAGTTTTATAATTTTTTAAGTGATTTTTTAAAATATATGTAAAAGAAGATATGTGATAATTATGTTGCTAAAAATATATAATAATCAATTTTTATTTAATCCTTTACGAAATAGGTAGAATAGGTTAAACTTACTAAGAAAATTCAGCAATTGATAACTTTAAAAAGTATTATTATTTTAAACACTTTTTTAATGTAGCTCTTCTTTTAAGGATTTTGTTTTTATTTTTATCATTTTTATTAAGGTTTATCATAACATTCAAAGTGATAGAATTTTATATACTAATAATTCTTATTTGCACAAAAAAATTAGAATATGAAATCATAAAAAACTATTTAATTTGAATCATTTGTTGTCACATTATAAAATTATTAATTATATATTCATATTTTTTTATATTTTGATATTAAAATAGAATTTTTTATTTATAAAAAAAATTAAAATTAAATTCTAAAGCATATTTTTTTAATCAATAGATTTTAAAATTTAAAAAATAAAAAATAAAATAATATTGATAACAAATTGAAAAGTTAATTTATCTTTTATGATATTATTTTGTTTTCGTGGATCTATATATTAAAAAAGAATAAATTATAAATTAAAATTAAAATTAAATAATAACACAAAAGAATACTACAATCATTTTTGAATGGATATTATTTAGGATATTCCTAATGTGACTATAATTCCATAAAAGTTTAGTGTAATTTTAGTCAAAATTAATTTTTTTCTACTTTCATCATAATCATTTTATTGTAGCTTAATGTGTTTGTATATATATATATATAAATATATATTCATAAATTTGCAAGCAGATAAGAGTATTTTTAAAGTAAAAAATTGGTTTACATAAAAGTAAATTTATAAATTTTATTTGATTATAGTATTAAAACATGTATCTGTACAATAGATTTGTATAGTATCATTTTATGTTCCTTTAATGTTGCATTCTATATTCACATGAATTTATTTTTACTCATGCTGTTTTTCTTTGTTCTTGCCTTGTGTATGTATTTTCTTTTTCACACTTTTATCAAGTTTATGTATGGTATTACTAAAACATGTTGGTTTGATTCTTGGTTCCATTGTGGTCCATCATTGTATTGTATATTAATACAAAGCAATAACTCAGTATAATATATTACTTCCAAAGAAGAAGGCCTCAATACTAGCATCAACAAAATTTTAAAGTAACTAGCAGTACCAAAAAGCATTCATGAAACGATAAAGTATAGTTTTGAATAAATAAAAAGAATGCAACTATGATTGTTGTTGTTTGTTATACCTACTTTTCTCTACATTAAACATGCCAGAAACACTCACCCCGATAATAGTAAAAATAACTACATCAATAAATGCAACTACATCCATATTAACAACAGCCTCAGTTGTGACCAATCACAAATCTTCTTTATCGTCCATGTCATATCCTTCAGGGAACCATTCATTTATAAATTATATCTCACACAAACACAGAATAATATGTACTTTATTTAGCCTTCATCACATAGAGTCCATTAGCGGTACAGTGTAGCTTCTGACTGATCTTTGGTAGCCACTGCACAAAATTGCAACTCTCAACGCAAAACCTCACATCTAGAAGTGGGTTATTGTAGAGTCACAACAGAAACTCGAAAACTGACAAGCAGAAGTTTCAAGCCAAGACAAGCAAACGCACGCCTAAGCGGCAGCAACAGTCCACCCGTGCACTTCCTCGATCCGACATCAGGATGGGTAGCAGCAGCAGCAGCAGAATCCACCGCAACGGTATCGGTAATGCAGGGTTGAAATGGCTTTGACAATCCTTGCTACTCATCAAGATGCTACACGTATCTTTCCGTACAGAACCACCGAGGAATCAAACTGTGGGAGCCGGAACAACTCTATCGACATCGTCTGCACAACACCGAAAACTCTAGCTCGTCGAGACAGCAAAGCACTCAAAAAACCAAATGCAGGAGAAAGTTGAGAACTGATCTACAAAGACAATGATGGTTACCTTGTAGATGTACACAAACCCAGACGTAGGAAACTCAATCACGGTGGAAAAGAGCGACCAATTGAGCTCAGAATGGGGAAAACGGCACCCGAGAATCCGACAGTAGAGACCACCAAGCTGAGAACGGAACACAGCAGTGTGTATTGTATTCGATAAAACACACGATTTCACTGCATTGCAGCGCGGAACATTGCTGACTGAAAGAATTGTGTGTGTGTGTGTTGCAAGCAGTTGACTGGGGTTTGCGGGTGGACACGGTGCTATTTATTGTGCATGAAGCCACAGTGTTGCGCCTTCTCGCATGCGAGGTAGCTCCAACATCAGAGTCTTTCTATATTTATATAAGTTAGTTTTTTCTATATATATATATATATAGATATATTTATTTATTTATTATTGTTGGAATACATATGGATCGACTCTGTTATCTTTTAATACATAAAATATGTGTATATAATTCATATTTAAAATAAAAATAAGAATAAATATATTTTTTCAAATTTGATATTTTTATTAAGTGTTTTGCATTGATATCATGATAAGACAGATTTTGATAGTTTAGATATTTTACAGCAATGTGTTGTAACCAACAACTCCAATCTTCAAATGAATCATTATACTTTTTTGAAATTGCAAGTTGATCATAACCTGTTCTCAGGATCATATCCTATTTTTTGGAAACTTGATTTCAAAAAACATTCTTTTATCACAAATTTATGAAAGAATATATATATATATATATATATATATAAATGAATGAAAGTAAAACTATGACAAGGATTTCATTCTGACGTGTTGTTTGTAAATTATGTAGTTGATCATATTCTGTCCTTACCCCCATAAATTGTCTGGTAAATACCCTCATCATTACTTTTCCATTATCATTATCACATTTTAGAAAGATATCAAAAATTTCACATGTCTTACTATACATTCATTTGCACTGATTTTGAAAAAGACATCAACTTTTTTCTTTGTGGCTTCTTTGGGTTGGGAGAAAGCGAGAAAGACTTAGAGTGACATATTTTCAATAACCAGACACACAATTACCACAAACCCAGTTGTAAACAATATTCAACTCATGCAACACAAAAGCATTTATCCAAACACCTATATTTTACATAATCTATCCATACAACTTAACTAAAATCTATGAGGTGTTTTTCATGAAATATCACCCTTGAACACACAATAATTCTAATTTTAAATAGCATTAGAAACTTACCAAAATGCCAATTTTAAATTCTTTGAATTTTACATATTCAGGGGAGAGATCCACCCAATTTTGTGTTCAATAAATTTCTTTCATGTTTGGTAATTTGATTAGAAACTTATATGTGTATATATATATATATATATATATATAAAATTGTTAAAGCCACTCCCCAATGTTGTTGAAACCACATAACTAATATTAGTTATTGTGTTTTTTGAAAGGGAACCCCTCAACAGAAGCTTGAGACACAGGAGGCGTTTCCAACTTGGCTATGTGATGGAGATTCGGGCAGACGTTCGGGTAGCTATGAATCACCAGTGACGATCCCCATGTCCCGTGCCCACGGGCAGGATGGCGCCTGCCCGAAAACCAAACCCGTGATAAGTGCAGCAACCCTTGCCCATGATGTTTTCTCGGTGCAACCTAAAGACCCGTTATTTAATAAACCAATTGGAACTCTCCACGTGGCAGGTATACAGTTCCCGGATACGATCCCCCTGCCAGCAGGCCCATGACTCGGACGAGCTCGACGACGACGGAAGGGAACGAAGTCTGTCGGGAAGGGAGACGTGGACGGAGGGAGGACGAGAAGCGAGAGAGCGAGAGGGGAGCGTAAGAATCGCTAAAGGACTCCGAGAAGATGCTTCTATTCTGGAATATGGTCGCCGTTCTGGGTTGGGGGTAGCTTCCGTATCACCGGCATTGGCGCAGCAGCAGGGAGGGAAGGAAGAAGGAAGAAAGGAAGAGTGATATAAGTTCAGTTCACGTGGTGTGGGATTACTGCAACTCCCCCTCCTCCTCCTAACATCAATCTTCTTCCAGAGTTGGAACTGCGTAATAAGATTGTCAGGGATCTCGAAGGAACTGGCTAATTGCAAACGATGCAGAGAACGTAGTCAGGGAGGGGGGGAGGTAGGGGGGGGGAGAAGAACCCGGAGGTACACTTGCAGCAAGGATCTGGTTTTATTCTCGTGCTACTTGGGTGCGGATGGTGGTCGGAGGAAGACTGGTGGAAGGATCTGGGGCTTGCTCGAGAGTGGAGTCACGATGATTGTGTGTGTGAATGCTTGGATTGGTTTTCTATCTTGAATGCTGGGGGATGAAGTGTTTAGAACCCGGAAATAGTTTAATGATTTCAGGTGGTGTTGTCACGTGAATCCTACGAATCAGTTATTGATCGGATTTAGACGGGGTTAGTCAGGAAGGAGAGTGGGTGGGGTGTAGGAAGTAAGCTGAATTCTATTGGATGCTTGTTAGGGAGGAGCAACTTGACAAGGTCGGCTCAAGAAAAGGGGCTGAATATTGGGGGCCTTTTTTCTTCTTTTTTTTTTCTTTTTTTTTCTTTTATCGTCTTGCCCCGACTCTCCTTACACAGTAGTTCTTCGAAATGCTCGTCGTGTAGTGTCGTAGTGATATGTTGGTCGGTGGGAAACGGTTTTAAGGGAGTGGCTTTATGGGAGTATATAAAATGCCTCTGGTTATTTTTGGCGATGGATTTTGATTTTGGATTTAGGGGACGAAGTTGGGGTGCTGGGTTTATGAGATTACGTGTGAGTGGTGTCACGAGGCACTGCTTGACAAGGGGGTCGGTGGAGTAGTAGCCGTCGTCTTAAGTATTCTGTGTGGAATTACAAGAAAAGAGGGTGTTTCGTGAGTGCTCTGTTTCGTGGGTTGTTTGTTTTTGTTTGTTGTTGTTGTGAGTTGTTGGAGCGAGTTAGCCATGGCATCAAATCAACCTCCGAATCCATTTTCGCTCATTCGAGCGGCTTCCATCACTCCGGCGGCGCAGAGCAGCTTGCAGTCGCTGCTGAGTCAAGGCTCGCAGGACTTGGCAGATTTCGTGTGGCCGGAGGATGAACGTCCGACTATTCCACACAACGATTACCGGCGCGATAGGGAGCTCCCTGTCATCGACTTGTCAGGCTTGCAGGATGGGTCCGACGAGACGAAGATGAAACTGGCGAAGCGGATTGCTGCTGCCGGCTCAGAGTGGGGGTTTTTTCATCTCATAAACCATGGTATCCCCGTCGCTGACCTAGACGAGGTGCAGTTACAAACCCGACGCTTCTTCGAGCTTCCCATGGAGCATAAGCAGCGTGCCATGAGTCTTGAGACTGCCAACGCGAATAATGTATATGGTTACGGATTGAACACTACTGGATACAAGTACGCAGGTCGCCCCTGGATCGAGCGATTTCAGTGTAGCTGGTCCCCCAAGTCCAATCTCCGCGAGCAGGCTCAGCGTTTACTCGATGGTCAAGCCTTTCACGATTTCCAAGCAGCTGTGGAATCCTTTTGCTCAGGAGCAGAGAAGCTGGCGAAGCTTACCCTGGAGTTGTGTGCTCTGGGGTTAGGCCTGGCTCCTGATACTTTTAGCCAACACATGAATCCCAGCCAATCGATTGCACGATTGAATTATTACCCCGCCTGTCCGACCCCGGATCTCACCCTTGGTTTGGGCGCGCACACTGATCCCTACACCCTCACTTTCTTACATCAATGTCAAGTGGGGGGATTACAAGTGTGTAAGGACGGGAAATGGATCACCGTTAAGCCTCGACGAGGCGCGTATGTTGTCAACGTCGGAGACAATCTCCAGGCATGGACCAATGGACGATTCAAGAGCGTGGAGCACAGAGCTGTCCTAAACGACAAAGTGTCACGGCTATCTCTAGTATTTTTTTATGCTCCTCCTCTAGACACTGTCATATCAGCTCCTCAAGAGCTGATCCAAGCTGACGGCAAGCGACGCTACAAAAGCTTCACGTGGGGAGAGTATCTCGATTACTTAAAGAGGCAGAATTTTGAGAAGGGCAAGAATGAGCGATGGGTCGAAGGCTTTGCACTTTGAGTCCAATAGCCTGCTCCGCTTGAATTTTGCGTAGGGGAGGACGATTCTTGTACACTTCTGGACTAGCTGCCACTCATAGGGCGAAGTGCAGCTCCTCTTATTTTCGGACCAGCTTGAGTGTGCCAAAGTGCACTTCGCTGCGATTTTGTCCCACGCACTTGAAAATCCTTCTATGCACACGGAGGCCTAGAAACAATTATGACTATTCTTAAGTGACACTACCCATGAGCTGCGAAGGTGAAGCATTTTGCTTCGTGCACAACTTTTTGGGGGTCAAAAGGTTTCCATGAACGATCTCATTCTTTCTCATCATATCCAGCATCCTCCTCTCCTCTCCCGTCGGCCAGTGGGTCGATGATGTCTTCTTCCATCTCCTATTATTAACTACAGTTTTCCAAATTCAATCTTGCTTCCAATTCCGTCATCTTCTTTCGTCTCCCACATTTGTCTGCCCACCTTCTTCACGCCTCCAGTCGCCTGTGCGCTTCTACTTTGCACGTAACCTTAGATTTCTGCAAGAGTTTGCCTGGAGCCATTCCTACTTATCTAGCTTAGCTACTTGTGGTCTGAAGGGATTCTTCGGGGTTCAGAATGATGACTACGTTCCAGAGCAACAGCTCCTTCAGGATTCAAAGTAGTTTCTCTTCTACGTCGCATCTCTTTATATGTGGGTCGTTTCTCCACCAACATACGTCCCTCTTACAGGCTTTAGAGAAATGGTAACCATGAGCACGGAATGAGGATCAGCACGGGATCAATGTGTATGTATGCCAACCTTGGTTGGCGGTTCTGTTAAATAATAACTTGTAACCGTTAAGAGCAGTCTATGGTTCTCGATGCATTCGCTTGATTCACCTCAGAGTTTCTCGAAATGCCCCCAAGTTTCCAATGTGCTGAGTACAATTCCTACAATGCACATGGGGACCCCTGGATCTGACTTCTGCAACAGCAAAAGCCCAGTTCAACCAGTTTCGTAGTCTCCAGCTGATGCTGCAGCCTCCTACGTTGATGACCTGCTCACAACTGCAGGGTCGAAAACAATGTCTGGGAGTGAAGAAAGGAAACGAGCCTTGCGAAGTGGAGACTGGCGCTGCTGCCCTAAAGACCATAGCTGCCTTGTCTGTGCACCATCAGAACTACACAATCCATCATGAGCTTGCACATGGCGTATCGATTTCAACCTCTTGCCTTGTGGCGTTAGTCTTCGCTGATCTGACAGTGAACTTAAAATTAGAACCATAGAGGACAGTTGTGCATGTGTTCTATCATGAAGCATCACTTCTGTCTTCAATAACCCAATGTCTGAATAGAATATTGCTTCATTCTTCAGAGGATGCCTTGCTTTATGTCTGATTGAATATGTAGTTGCTGTATTATGTTTCTTTATTGCTTGATTCTTTTTGATGTGTATGGAAGTATTTAGTTTGACCCTGAGCTGCAGTAAGTCAATTGGTTGTTACAATGTACTGCTTTTTGAATGACTTCTTTGCTTTACATGTATTTGATGCATGTAATATTTAAGTAGTAGTGATGTCATGCACAAATACCTCAGTGGTAAATTTGTCTTAGATTGTTATGTTTATATATATGTAAAAAACAGAAGAAGATGCATGAATTGTGTTTCCATTCTCAATAAGAACTCTGAATAATTTAATTTTAATATTGCAATATCATGATATCATAATTTTCCCAAATAAAAATAAAGTCATATTAATATTGCAACTACATCTAAACAACCTAAAGGGTGAAAAATATTCAAAAACTAAAATTAAAAATCAAATATCTGCAATCCACACACTCAATCTACGTAAAATTTATATAACATATCACTTACCTCAAATCAAACAAGAATAATAACAATAATAAAAAATCAACAGCAAAAAGCAGGAAAAATTAAAAAAAATAAAAAAAATAAAAAATAAAAAATGAATCCAAGAAAAAAGACCACATAGGTTTGGAGACGAGAAATGACCTCATAAACCTAACAAACTTGGAATAAAAAAAACAATTCTTTGATTCTTAATATAGATGGTGCCACGTCGGCCACGCGCAAGCGGAAGACGGAATAGGCGGCGTCCACCGCCACCGCTATCTCGATCTCGATCTCGATCTCATGGACCTCGCCACTCACTCACTCGCTTGCTCAATCCCAGTTGCTGCTCATCGCATCCCTGCACCGCATTTTCTCCATCCATGTATGCATGCATTCTTAACTTGAAGCCTACACTCCCGGGTCTCTGCGATGCTTGGCAACATCAACTTGTCCATTGTTGCTGAGTAGAGTCGGATTTTGTTGGCAGCTCGGAACGCGTGAAGGATCCGATTCTGGAAGCGCCTTTACTTGTGGGTTTGCAGGCGCAAGTGTGTGGGAACTTAACCCCGCGGAGGGACGTTCCGCTCTACGAAGAGATCTAGGATGAGACCTGGGTATTTCTCTTTTTCTGCACCGATGTGAGTGCGTGCAGCAGCCCCAGCGTGGCACCCATGGACGAGAGCTGAGAGGCTGTCATCGAATGCGGGTCCGCATCTGAAGAATTGTGTGATGGAGTCCGACAGGACGCCCACGTGCCCTTAAAAATATCTTTCAGGGAATCAGCCTGTATGCTGCGAAAAGAAGTTGTGAGGAAGAGTCGGAGGGCGGTGTCACACTTGACAAGACCAGTTTCTGCCAGTTGCTTCGAATCTTATCAGCTGCCCTGGATAATGAGCTGTAGTGGAATCAATTCTCAAGTACGTAGGTGCTACTCTGCATGGCGTAGGTAGAAGCGAATTCGGAAGAGATGGTTACATTGTTCTTTTACCACCACTAAGGGCCTGCAGATCCTGTTATCCCACTAACCATCACTTCGTAGATTATTCAGCTCACTCAATGAGCTCGGAATGCTACAGGCACATGCGCTTCAGTACCACTTGAGTAATGTCAAAAATGATAGATGAGGGCGATAGCGCAGTGCATTCAATTTCACCCTCGATCAACTTTTCTGTTTCGAAGGAGGATGTGTGAAGCTCACCCTCACGGCATGCTCATCTCGCCAGCCAAACCCCTAACGATCACGTCCTCGCAACGTTCCGGGAGGCAGGGGGAGGGGGAGATGGGAATTAGAGAATGAGGAAGCAGGGGAGGATGGTGTGGAGAGGAAATTAGAAGAAGAAAACAGAGGTGGAAGAGGAGGAGGACGGACAGCGCACGCCGAGAGTTCACTAAACGAGCGCAGCATTCAGCGATGGTGGAGGAGACGATGGCGCAAATGCTGAATGACGACGCGAGGCAACAGTGGCAGCAGCACCGAGCGAGGTGAGGCTGATGGCTTCTCCTTCGGACTCCAACTAACAACAGCCATGGACGTCCATAGAACCTCAATCCTTTTCCCTTCTTCTGTGCTTCTCCCTCCCCCCTTGGCATTGCCCTTTTCCCTTCCCGCCCTTCCTCCCTCCTCCAGAAGATGCCTCGCCTATCTATAGAATGTCGGCCGAACATGTCCAGCTCACTGCTCCATCCTAATTATTCTGTAAACAGCACACAAAGTACATTCCAGCAATTTTGGAAGGTAGGTTATGAGTAAAGCGTCCATGCCCTCCCTCCAGCAGCAGCGGCATCTTCTTCGTCCCACTTTCGATTAGACCTCATGTTGTGGTGGACGACGCACATTTCGCGGCTATGGCTGGATTCTCTAGAACTTGGCAAAACGCTGCTTCCGTTTCAGATTGGTTGATGTGTCCGTATGAGAGGTTCGAGCCCAACTGATGGAAGTTGTTCATTTCGTTTCTCCTGCATTTGTTGTTGTGTTGCATTGGTGCGATGGAAATTCTATTTCTGATACTGGCAACGATTGATTTGAACTAGTTTCCTTCACTTCAATGATTTTGTTGCTTTCAAGAAAAGGTTTTGGAAGAACATTTTGTGGTAGTTGAAAAGCACGCATTGAGGCACAACAGTTGGAATCATGCTTACCAACTTGTGCACAAGTACACTTTTGACGATTATATCTATCTTTATCTCTACACAAATTCGTGAAAAAGCTCGAGCATTTGATGGTTGTGTAGTTTTTGATACATCCTTTAGTTTACGTAATATTGTTGAATGCAGCTATTTATTAGCTTCTTCCACCTTACAATGATCAATAACCCGAATGAAGTTCAAAAGAGCAGCCACGGAACTCACTGCAAAATCGTTGCAATGTATCTCGCTGGATATTTTTCACAAAAAAGTTTCAAGCAAGCATACACATTGATGCACATCTCTACAACCAACAGTTCACAAAAATGAAGCTTTGAGATTCTGAGATCCCATCATTCACAGTTTTTTGTACGAGATGAACCCAAGGTTCAAACTTGCGCAACAGAAATTTACTGCATACTATTCGCTTCATCATACCCATTTAATTGACTGTTGGATATATGTTCTTCTTTGTTGTGGTAGGATACTCTTGCACTTCTAGACCACACCAAATATTCAATTCAACAAGCTTGTATGAACATTCAACTGTCTACTGTGCGCTGCAGCACTGTACACTCGCAGATGTCTCGGAGACGTCTCCTAGACCGTTGCAACTCTGGCCATCCCCGGGAGGGCCATTGTTTAGGTGTAGACAACTACAGCGACTCAAGCAACACGGAGTATCCAGGTCTTTCAATAAGATAATGCAATATGCATACAGCCTAACAACCAAAGAAGCTCCAAATCGCACCTGAATACCCGCGGACTCCAGCACACAAATCAATGCAGCGAGTACGCCACGCCTGTGTTGAACAAACTCAAGATGCAACTCGTCAACAAGATTGAACCATCTCAATATTCAACATGATGACGATAAACCTGAACGAACAGGTTGGGCAGTGAAAAGCGCCAGTTTATTCCCATCAACAGACTCCCGCCACCGAAGACCCTCAAAGCAATATAGACATGAGAGGGTCAACCTGACGCCTGGTGTCAATCTGTTCATCCTAGACTACCCGACCATCTGCAAACCCAACCTTCACTATCCACAACAAGGTTGCCGCATAACCCAGATTTTGTAGCGAATTAAAACTCTCGCTCCAAACCATACTGACCAGAACCACTTACAGCCTAGATGACCTCTCACGTATCATCAACAGCTGTTCTACCTTGGCACATATTGCAGGGGATCCAAGCTTTCGGTCTACCTCCTATCCCAGGTCAGATGCTGTTCCGATGGCTACCTGGCTATGAGTCGGACCCAACAGCAGAGTACTGTAAAGAAAGTGGCACTGACACAACCTGGAGACCCATCATCGCTCAGGGTGCTCCACAACTGTCTCGTTCCTCCTCTGCCTCTTTTCTGGAACAGCAAATCTAAAGCCGGTTCCACAAATCCGCAATCCTCTACACGACCTGCCAAATTCTTACTGCTAACATGCACAACCTACACACCCCACCAACCGAGAAAGCGTCTTAAAGCATAATTGCTGCGCATTCCCTTCGTATGTCCAATGCGGTAGCCACAGCACATTCCCATAACAAATGGGAATAACTACTCATACATTGCCGGAAGAGGCACGGCCCCTGCCATAACCGCCAGCTCTGCCTATGCCGTAACTCCCTCCTCCGCCACCGAAGTAGCCGCCCCTGTGGCCACCGCGGCGTCCTCCACGTCCTCCAGAGGACCTCACAGGAAAAGCCCCAAACGTCTGAAGGCAACCAAAGCGCAGAAAGTTTCCAAAACAACACCAATTTAGGCACAAACCTCAAATACATGTTCTTAACATATGAGAGGTAAAGGAAAACAATGTTCATAACGTCTGATGCGTATTACTGAAGTTGAGCAGTTTTTTACCATGCTGTATTTTCACACACATCCACCTATCAAACAGAAAAAAACTGAGCAAGGATGAAATTGAATGTAGTGAACGAACTCTCTCGTGTATCATCATTTTTTAGACTCTTCTGGTCGCATAGAAGTGAATTTGCCTGTAGCATTCCGAGCTCGTTCCCGCCAGAGCTAGTAAAGCATGCTTATCAAGTGGAATGACATACCTCTGTGTCAATCCTGCGTTGCTCAGAGAATTTAGGGCGTTCACCACGTCCTCCGTGAGTTGCATCACAGGATAGAGAATCGAAGAAGTCATCCTTGTTGTACAAAGCCTGACACAAAAGCCACCGTAACCTTGAGATAACCGCACAGAACATCAAAACATTGTTCAATCTGGTATGATTTCAAGCAATCAAATATCCTTTTACCACAAACTTCAGCTCATAGATGTCACAAACATATGTTGGTCTTTTTTCTCCTAGGAAGTTTTTCACTCAGTGTTTTTTAGCAGCGGTCACAAAGTGTGTTTCCCAATGACAAGTATGAACTACCTTCTTTGATGCATCTGATTGTGCAGAATCAGCTGCGTCAGCTTCGACGTTTCCATCATCATCCTCGTATTCTTCTTCTTCATCCTTCCCTCCAAGGGTGCCCCAAACTTCGTCTTTTTTGAATTTCTCATTCATGGCTGTGAAGTCGAAATCTTCAGTGAACTGATGTGTAGGATTCGCCAGCTGCTTATCACAAGTAACAACCTTATCAGACATAGACCCATTGTATGCTACAGACACACACAGCAAGTTGGAAGTTGCAAAGTGCGCTGTGATCAGGAAGGAAATAACTCAGCAGAATCCAAATCTAGATAGTAATATTCCAAAATGAAAAGGCGAATTAGAAGAGGGAGACCAAGAATCGCCACTTGCCCCAAGTCCTCTTCCGCTGCCACTGCCTCGACCTCTTCCACGACGATTGTAATTGCCGTTACCTTGATAACCATTTCCCTGCACATCATTTTTCATTATCAACTCTTATCAGCCAAGCTACAGAGGAAGGATCGTTCATTTAAAACCATTTCCTCAGTAGAAATCCACATCAACAAGCCGTGATACAATCCCCAACCACGCATCCCGACTAGTGCCCAAATTTTTTTTAAGGGTCATGAACCTAGCTTAACTAGCCTCCGATTAAAGGAATGATGCAAACGTGGAAAATACCCGTGCAAAAGTCATCCATCACCGTTGTCAAGATGACCAGAAACATACTTTAACCAGAACAAAAAGCGGTACAGTACCTGCCAGCGATTCTTTTGACCAACAGGCGCGCTATGACTTCCTCGCTGCTGAGTGAAAAAAAATCAGATTTTAGAATAAGTCCTGTTATAATACGCAAAATGTCCTCACGTTCTGAAAATTCGAAGTACTATTCAGAGAAGTTAACCAAGAGTATAACAATAAACTACTCGACATTTCACCTGAAAAGTTTACACAGTTATGCTTGATGTTTGCTGCTGAGAAAGATCGAAAATAGCATGTTGCATTATCACGTAATCCAAGTCGAATGACAAAACAAAAACGTTGATAGCGCCCCTACACCCGACACAGGAAAAAGAAAGAAGAAATCTCCCACTGGGTATATTTTGCTGAACGTTTCGAAATGAGTGTACCTGTGCCGTTGCCTGTTGCTTTTGCTCGCCTGTGGGCAGTGGAAGTAGAGGCTGACTGACTTGTGCCTGGGAAGTTGCGGTCTGTGAGCTGGTTTGCACCACGGGTGTTATTGCTACATGGGCCAATTCAGCTGTTTTCTGCTCCAACTTTGGAGCCACTTGGCTTTGTGCTATGGTTGGTCCTGGCTTTGCTGCCGACGCTACACTCTCTGAGGATTGCGCTGTCTCAATTTGTGGTGTTATCAAATACTCGGAAGACAAGGTGGGTGCACTTGACGTACTCTGTGTACTTAGCCCTTGGGAAAAGGATCCCACAGCCTGTTGTGATGGAACTTGGGACACACTCCCCACAATGCGCCGGGGGTTCTTCGCAACTGGGGTAATCATCGCGCTGACGCCTTGCATGGAGAAAGGTAAGCTGGAAGCGGCTGAAATGGGGACACCTGAGGCAGAGGCAGAAACCGTTGTCCCGATCGATGAAGCAACTGGAGCGGCAACTGTGCTCATAGCAGATTCTGTAGGTTTCACCGCGGTTGAAGCCTGCGTATACACCAGCATTGGCACTTGAAATACTAAACAGAAAATCATGAGACACTTGAACCACAAAAAAAAAACAAAAAAAAACAAAAAAAAAACAAAAAAAACAAAAAAAACAAAAAAAAAAACAAAACAAAGAAGTAAATACATCATTAAGTAAATATACTTATTTTTTGTAAAAGACAACATTTACCGGAGCTGTAGTTGCTGCAACCAGAGGTGTCAGTGTAATGGCAGTGCTAGAAACAGGAGCTTTGGAGTCACTTGATGTAGAAGGCTGGGTGTGCGACTGCAAAGCCGGAGTAGCTACGCCGCTAGAACTGGGACCATTTATCGGACCTTGAGGGCGTGATGATGGAGCTACCTGCTGTGCCAGGGGTGGTGGTTGTGGTCCCTGCTGACTCTGCTGTATAGGTTGTGGCTGTTGTTGTTGTTGTAGCTGCTGCTGCTGCAGGGGCTGACCTTGTGATGGAACTGCCAACGGAGGAGGAGGTTGAGGGGGCATTGGCTGATGTTGCATGTGCCCCGCTGGTGGAGGTCTGTAGTAACCATGCCAGTACATTGGCATGGCGAGACCTGACCCATTGGCACCAGGAAGTGGTGGGGGGGGACCCCAAGACTGCAATCCTGCCGGAGGATATAGAGGAGGCACAGCGCTTCTGTACGGAGATGGTGGCATTCCCATGTAAGGAGGAGGAGCGCTTGGCTCTGAGGAAGATCCTGCCGCTGGAATCCCACCATTGTAGGGCCCAAGAGAGGACGGCAGGGGATACTGTAGCTGAGAATGCTTCAGCAGGGAAGTGGACATAGCACAGACATTAGAGATAAAAACAAGAAAAATTCATCCTCTCCGAAACTTGGCGTTTCAGGTATGTGATTCGTACATGCAAAAAAAGCCACTAGACGTCATGCATGCTCCAGTCGTTGATGGTAACATGGATGGTCAACATTCCAACTATCGCATCATATAGATAGGGTTTGTCTTACCAGATTCTCTACTCCAAGAGCGAACTTAGGTAAAGTTTGCTACTGTTCAAGGGTAATAGAGTAAAGTTTAAGACAACGTACCGGTACCTGAAGTGATATGATTGCAGGATCTGTCGGTTGGTGTAGAGGAGGGGGATGTAAGGGAGGTGGTGGAGACGACTTCACTTGCAAATCCTGTTCACATAATGCAAGGCAACTCAATATCATGAAACTCTTCGTGGAAGGGTCGAATGCAGAGTTACCACTGAAACATATTCCAAGCCAAATATGGACATATTCAATTCGCAGGTAGATTGAGGCGCTAAGAACCTAAACACGTAGTTTCTTCTTTCATATCAGTCACAGGTTCAACCTTGATATCCGACCCTCGAAAAATGATGTAGTCATAGACTTTGTCGCTAGCAGGAATCTGGGGTCCTTCCTTTTTGCGTCCTTCTGTCCCAAACGACCGAACTGCATAAAAAAAAATCAAGGACTCATTAACCATCACCTAAATTCAGCTCTACTCCACTCAACCCAGGGTGCAGTGTAACACTAAATACGACTCTGTAAAAAAAAGCAACACAATGACTTCAACAAAATACTGTTCCAGAATCATTCTAGTTCCAAATGCCTTGAAGTGGTTGCAATTCTGCAACGCGCTCTTCATTTCAACAAAAACACAAACAATTCCACAAAAAAGGTAAAAGAACAACTATGATGAACGCAAGGCAAGAGACGTGACTTTTTATCACACCAAACACTCATTAGCATGTGACGGAATCTAAAAATCGGATAATACACCTTCACAAATTTGCTTAAGTGTCATGCAGATTTTACCAGAGCTCGTAAATTAAGGTCATACACAATCGATCTAGTTGCTGCTTACCCATCTCCCCTCATCATCTGAAAGTGAAACATTCAAAAAGTTCCAATGCCAAATGACCTTTACATATACGACTACTTTTAACCTTCATCATCAAAGTCCATTTCCGAAGTTGGAAGTGCTCTGGACGTCCGCCGTGACAATGAATGACACCACGACTTTCTTATGAAATTCGATTCAGAAGCTGAGTGATGGTTTTTCTCCGTCCAAAACGTCATGGCAAATGCTTAACACCAGACGACTAACGCATGTCTCACGATTTCCGACTCAATTGGGACAACTACCCCTGCTACTGCGACGCAGAAGTACAGTCCATTATGCTTCGAAATTTGATTAGTTAGAATTGAGAACACTAAATTAATGCTCTTACGTAAGGATATAATTCCATACTTAAACAGCTGCAAACACATCAACAGAAAAGGATTCAAAAGGTCCTCCACACAACATATTATGTGAGTCAATTCACGCATCAAACCCTAAGTAAAACTCTACCCGCAACCTCCAACTGACCCGATTACGCTCAAAAGAGATAATTCACATACAGTGTTCAAATCCAACTCGTCATTAACCCGTCCATAACCTAAGCATAAAGAGAAAATGTACAGGCTGCTGAATAGGACCCAAAACCCTAATAGACCAGATTGACATTCCACCACACCCAAAACAGTACCCTCGTCCCATACCCCAAATTACAAAAATCCATCCCCATTCGAGCTGGAATCCCCCATAAAAAAGAATGATACATTTGGATACCAAACCGTACCGTTCTGCAGCGCTATGTTGGAATTTTCGGTGTCTACAGTATACAAAATCCCCTCATACCGAATCTCACTCTTGGATGTGAGGCTTATGAGGCTGCCAATGTAAGAGTCAGCCGTGTTCGGCCCTCGCCCTCGCCCCATTTCGCCTCCACTCGAAACTCCAACCCTCCCTCGTTTCCCGACACCGTTGTTACTCTCACCTACACGTCTTCTCACGCACGGCACATCGTAAATGCGACAACCAAGCCAGGGAGGCTGATTCTCAGTATGGCTGTTTGCATGAGGCTGTGCGAAGAGGGGGCTGTAAAACACGATCAATTGGAAATTGGATAACTCTTGCCCGACGAAGCTCTTGGTCAGTCAAGTGAGGATACTAGGAACGTAAAAGCATGGCGATGGAATGATCTCTGGCAACAAGATCAACACCAATTAAGCCTGCACTGGCATCACTCATCCGCAAGACCCCACCACTCTCCAACCCACGACCCTAAGCCAACACCTCGCGTGCATCCGCTCTTATGGATATTCTTCGCACTCTCGATATCCACACCACCAGGTCGTAGCGTATGACGCGCCTCATGGCTTTTGTTTTTGTCTAGATGCCGCCTGCATTTGCTCTACTGTGCGGCAACATGCGGTATTGGGTGTCTCGAAAACCTTCGAAGATTTCGCAGATGTCGCCGTGCACAGCAGGATCTTTATAACGCTAAGGATATGTACATGTATATTTCTGTGAATTAGGATTGAAGGGCAATAAGAGACACTAGTGAGTGCATAAGAGGTGAGCTTGTGGGCAAATTAATGGTATTCCTGAGGATTGTGGGTACCTACCTTTCGGTGGTGACCATGATCGCCATGAACCTCTGTGTTTTGAAATGCTCCTTGGCTACATCGCTCACTTTGTTTTGCATGAACTTGTATGAATTTAAGCACTTGGGCATGCAAAGAATCTTAGCTCTTCACCGTCGGTTGGTTGCTGTGCTTTGTGATTAAATCAATTTTACATTTTTCCCATTTTCAATTCACTTCAATTTTTATTTGTGTGTATGTGTGGGGGTATGGATTTATATACTAAAGGGTGCATTTCTAGTGATAGAAAACAATGAAGAACAATGAACACACTAAAGTTGCATCATAGTTCTAAAATTTACTTTTAATTTATCAACTGATGTGTAACATTTCTTTGTTCATTAGAGGTGTCTCTAAACCATGGAAATATTAACTGGGATTTATATGGAATTTACAAGGAATGTTTCTAAAGCAAAAGTACAACTTAAGAAATTTTACCCATGTTGAACAAAATAATATATATAAAATAATTACTACCTATTTTATGTACTATCCTGAATTATAAAGCATGTTATTTAGTGTTCAAAGTACAAGACAGTCTTTTCACACATGAAGAAATAAACAAAGAATAAAATCAAATATAAAGAATGTACAGGAAATCGATCTTCTAAGCATTATGGTAGTTGTGATAAAATACTCAAAGAATATTCAAAATACAGTATCATTAAAATCTAATTAATTTTAAAAAAGATTAAAAATTACATTACTTTTATTTGTGTCTATCTTAGCTACTAAAAGAGACTAAAAGATGCTTTTTAAGAATCTCAAAAAGTAATAGACACAAGATAATAAAATCACAATAAACAATAATAATGATAACAATTATACAAACATGCAAAATAAAGTACTCAAAACAAACTTCTGTGGCAACACAAAAAACTTAAACGGAATTTAATAAGAATTAAATAACTTTTTGATTACAAAAGATTTTGTTGAATGAGTTAAAGTGCATCGTTGATATATTTCATGTTCTTCCTAAACCACATGTTTTATATATTATAAAAACTAATGGTAACTTTAAAATCAATTGAAAGGTTTTATCTATTGTGAAGTAACTTCTTTTTATGAAAAAAACATAGCCACAAAATACAATATTGGTTTATATTTTTATTTTTTAAATTGAACTCAAAATTATTGAGTAATAAATTTTTTAGTCTAATGTCATTTTCAATAATTTAGTAGATTGGTTCTATCATCCATTGAAATCACAAAAATCATTCTTTCATGTTAATTCTTTAATTTTTCATATCATTTAGTTAAAAATTTACAAAGTTTGATACTTTTGTTGTTATTGATTATCACTACATTAATGCTTGTACATCTCTTCAACTGATTTTGCTCAAACAATAAATGAAAAAAGTATTAACTAACATGATAAAGATTTTAATAATTAAAATAACATAATCAAATTGTAAGTAAAATTGAACTAAAAAATAAAATACTAACTTTATTTAAATTAATAAAATTGGTGAATTGATTAAAATTTGTATATACTATTATTTAAATATATTGAAGGTGTACAAAAGAAACTTATAGAATTTCACGTAAATATTAGAAAAATGAATCAAAATAATAATGAAAAACTTAATGTTGAAATATTTTGACCTATAGAGATATGCTTTGTCTTTAAATGAATTCTATCATTGATTTTCATGTTTTTTTAGTTATGAATAGTAATATAATTCCATTGCTAGTGTTGTATTATAAGTAATTTTTTATTATAAAATGTCTTTATAATATATAAGATTTATTTTTGAAATAATATTAGTAATGATCTAATAGATATAAAATATCAAAACACTCTATAATGTTTTTAAAGAATAATAAGTCATACTAATTCTATTGATTTGATACATCTTTTTAAATACTTTTGGGCTTTTTATTTTTTTATTTTTTTAATAAAATATACACATATATAGACACATTTTTTTTGTTAAAAAATAATTGTATATTTTGCTTAAGATGATATTCTTGATAAACCTTAGGGATCATTTCAAATACATTAGAAATTTTGGATATAAACTCTAGTATTTATTTATAAATATTTTAATACTTCTAATATAATAATAATATCAACTTAGTATTTTTTATAATATATTATAAATTATGTTCAATTTATATTCTACTATATTTTTGTTTCAATTTGAAATTTTAATAAAAGACTTACTTTAAGATAGAAGATTTTACAAATAATTATATTACTAAAATAATAGAAATTAAATAGAATAAATTAGAAGTAATTATAAGTATCAAAAAATATTTGGATTTTCATAAAAGTATATATTAATACATATAAATACATGTAAATAAAATCTTCCTTAAGAAAAAAAATATATATCTTAAATAAAAATTAGATTCATACGTGCATTTAGATATAGCATGTCACTAAAAAACATATTTTAAAAATTGTCTATACAAAGGAGTAATAATTGTGGCAACATCTTATAACTTAGATATTTGATGCAAAAGCCTTGTTATTCTTAATAATTTTTTATTTGATATTTTTAGTAGCCAATAAATAAATATATATATATATATATATATATATATATATATCAGATATTTTTAATCTTATCAATGTTCTCTTTTATTCTAATTTTAAATAATAATTTTTATTTATTTATATTTAATAATAGATATTCTATTACTTTTTATTTAAAAAATATATGTCTTTTTATATTTTCTTCTTCTTAAATATATATAAGTTTAATATTTTTTATAAGATTGCATAAAATAATTTAATTGAAAAAAAAATCTTATAAATATGTAAAGATTTTTGTAGGTTAAAAAAAGCCACTATTGAAAACAATTTGTCAAGTGATGTTACACTAAGTAATAAATCTTATCAAATATATGTGGTTTAGTTTGGTTTAGTGGTTTTTCTACCTATTTAGCTTTTTTAATTAGTTAACTTTCTTAATGTCAACTAAGGTTTAAATATTTAGTCAAAACAATCCCTTAACTTAACATTTATGTCAATTCAAATCTTCTAAGTGGTTTCAAAAGAAAAAAGCTTGTAGTAAGGGTTTTTCTTGGTTTTATTAATAAGCTATTTAGTAAAGCTATAGAATTTCTCTTCAACTTATACTTATACTCTTAGATTCTCCTTTTGTAGTCTCAGAGATAGTTTGACTTGTTTGTGTAGAGATTCTTCTTCTTTCACTTAACAAAAAATGTTCTATCATCTTTAAGTTGTACTATAGCAAATTAAAATGGAATAGAATTTTTCTTCTTTTTTTAAATACATATATATATATATATTGATTTTTTGTATTATATTTTGAATTATTTTGGTATTGAAGTGTATCTTGGATTTTTTTTTTAATATTGAATTATTGCAATACTATTAATCTTAAATATGTTGCAATACTATGTTGGAGTATATTTTGGATTTTTTTTGATATTGAGTTATTGTATTGCAATACTCCTCGTATTAGATATATTTTTTAATATTATATTGAAATAGTACAGAAGTTGTAAGTATAAGACAAGACAAAACGTAGCTAGATATTGTCAAATTGTGGTGCGTATTGGAATATTAGTTGCAAGTTGTTAGGGACATAGTCCTTAGAACCTTCTAGAGACAAGTTTCTAGAACCTTCTAGAAGCAAGTCTCTGGAACCTTCTAGAAGCTTCCTAGTTGATAGAAGTTGCTTGAGAAGCTCCCTAAATAGGAGTATATATTGGAATCGAGGCTGAAGAGTTCTTCAGTCTCGACAATACATCTCTTGGAGCTCTAGCTCACCTCTCTGGTGTTGTTCTTGTATTCATCTGATTAATCTAGTTCTTGCCAGTTCTTCTTGAACTTCTTGGTAGATATCAAGTCTATATTCTGTGTCCGTGACACAAGTACATAAAGATCGTTGGATACGCCAAGATTATTGCACAGCTTAGGATTTCAACTTTTAGGTGCAATATTATAGTTGTTTATTATTGTTTATTATAGTTGTTTATTAGAAGTGTACTAGCACTTTAGAGGTTGCGGATTACCCTCCTCTAAACTGATACTTCTTTTGTTATAATATTGGAGTCTTATTCTTCTTGGAGAAAGTGGATTACCCTTTTTTTTGAAGCTCTTAAGGCATTTTAGAGGTTGCGGAGTACCCTCTTCTAAACCAATATTGTCTTCTTGTAGAGTCATTTCTGTCCTTCTCTTAGAATGGTCGGGAGCCAAGACATTAGTATGACGGAAAGTTTAGAGTCCAAGTTAGATGCTATCATGAATGCCCTCGCTACGTTATCGCAAAGAACTGCAGAGATTGAAGGAGTTGTGGCAAGGCTTCATAATGATAGAGCATTTGGGATGGCACAATCTAGGTTGCACCAGCCTCAAACTTCTACACTTGGAGAAGCAACTTTACCTCAGGTTCGACAAGCATCGCTAGTTCTACAACATAAGGAACTCCGAGTTAGCCTTGCGGACAAGTTCGATGGTACACATTCCAAGTTTCGAGGATTCGTCAACCAAATCAGGTTGATAATAGTTTTACAGCCCGAACGCTATCCAACGGAGGAGTCACGTGTTGGGCTTGTTGGAACCTTACTTACAGGACAAGCTCTATCATGGTTTGCTCCTTTGTTTGAGAAACGATCGTCCATACTAAACAACTTTGAAACCTTTTTGGAGGCATTTGCAAAAGCATTTGGTGAACACGACAAGGTTCGATGGGCTACAACAAAGATCCGGTCACTACGACAA